ATTTCAAAACTGAGATTTTACCTCACACCAGAAAGAATGGCTAGTATTAAGAAATCAACCAATAATAAATGCTGGAGGGGCTGTGGTGAAAAAGGGGCTCTTCTCCATTGCTGGGGGAATGCAGACTGGCACAACCACTGTGGAAATCAGTGTGGAGATTCCTCAAAAAACTAGGATTGGAGATCCTATTTGACCTAGCTATTCCCCTTCTGGGTATCTTCTTAATAGAATTTAAAACATCATACTACAGCAATATATGTGCACCCATGTTTATTGCAGCTCAGTGTATAATCACCAGATCTTAGAAACAATCTAAATGCCCATCGGCTGAGGAATATATAGAAAAGATGTGTTGTTTCTATATAATGGAATGCCATTTAGCCATAAAGAATGATAAAATGTATATTTTATAAGTAAATGGATGTGCTTGAGAACATACTCATTAGTGAAATAAATCTATCATTTATGCATAATCATCACATTGTTTCATTAGTATGATAAGGGAAAAACATGTATTTTGTCCGAGAGGGAATGATATCAGCCAAGCAATGACTCAGGTCACACCTGCCTTTACTTTAACTAACTCATTGTGAGACATTTTGAATTGACTTTTGGATGTCTTAAGAAATCTTTGATGTGCTATAAAGTTCGGATTTTTTGTATGTGGATATCCACTTGTTCCAGTATATTTATTGAAGGTACAATCCTTTCTCCATTTGCATCTTTGCCAGAAATCAAATGTCTGTTGTGTGGGTATCTATTTTGGAACTTTATATTGGTACTTTGGTGGTTTGTTTATCTGTGCCATTTTGTCATGACTGGTGTAACTCTGTGAAAAGTCATGAGATTGGGGAGGTTGGAGCTCTAATTTGGTTCTCTTATTCTGAGTCTTTTTTATTTTTACAAAAATGTGAGAATTAACGTGCTAATCTATATGAGGGATGATGTTGGTGGTTTGATGAGAGCAAATATTCTAAGAGAAATTTAAATTTTAACCAATTTTTACACTGTTTTTAAGAACATTAGACTTGATTTTGCTACTGAAAAATAAATCAGATACCCTAATTTGCATAATAAACTAAAATATGATTCACAGATGGATAAATTACCATGTTATGAAAGGAGACACTGGTTGAGAATAGATAGAAGAGTTTTTGATTTTTCCCTACCTACAGATGGAAAATTTATTCTCTGGAGAAATTAATTCCCAAAGATTCATTTTTTTCAGACATCAAGCAAGCTGAGAGTCACATGTGCTACATGTAACTTCCCACTGATGTTGTAAAACTAGCAGATAAACCTATCACTTCACTTTCATCAGCTCCTTAGTATCTCATTCTTAAATGCAGACAAACAGCTGGAAATGCCCTGATCTTTGAGAAATGACTCTATTATAAGAAACATAAGTAGAAAAGATAGAGAAGTATAGAGGAGAACCAGGAACAGCAAAAAGATCAGAAGAAAGTTTTGAGTAGAAAGCAATATGGATACCAAGAAAGTTAGAGAAGGTACAACATCTGTGAAACAGGAACAAGAAGCTCTGAAAAAGGAAAGGTCAGACAAAAGGAGAATGCTTTTGAAATTGAAGAAAAAAGGACCAAACCTTTAAAAACATTAATAAAATACCTCAAAGATGCTGTTAACAAAACTTGAGTACAAAGAAAAGAATTTTAAAGTTGCAAAATTAAATTTAACTCACAAAATTTAGCATATCAACATAGGAAATCCAACATCTGCTTAAAGAATTTTAAAGAAAACAAACAGAACTGATAAGGAGGAAATTACTAAATAACTCAAGAAAAATCTGTAAGAACTGAAAGATATGCACCTCTAGACTAAAAGCTTAAATTGCAAGCAGGACAATATATGAAAGACCCAAAATAAGGTACATCATCTTGAAACTCAAAACACACAGAACTAAGAAAGGTCCTAGAAATTTTCAGAAAAAATGATAACACATGGATTGTCCAAAAGATATCAAGTTTACAATCTCCTAATTAAGGTCTTGCACTTGCATCTTAGAAATTAGGTCTACAAAGTTCATCTCAGTCTAACCATAGTCTCCCCCAAATGCATTTGGTTAAGTAGAAGCCTGTAAGTTTAAGATCAGACAGATACATGCTAAGTCTTGACTTTACCACTTTCTACCCAATTAGTTCTGAGAAAGTTAATTTTTCTGTGATCCACATGTTAAAAAGTGAGGGTGAGGTATGGGTACCTTTTGTAGGTTTCTGTGCTCACAGAATGAAGTGTTAGTTATTTGCAAGCATCTGATTCTCTCCTGACCACATTTTGGTTCCATTAGTAATTGTTCCTTTTCTCATTTTCCCAAGGACTTACCAGCCAGGGGAGCAGATGTGGGTCTCAGTGTCACAGGATCTGTTACTGCTATGGTTGCACCTCCTTTTCTGCCATCATCTGTCCCAAGGACCATCACAAGTGTCCCTATTAAGTAAGACATCCATAAACCCTACTTGGGAAAGAAGGTTTGAAAGCATACACAACCCAAAGTTTACAGTCAAATATGCAATTCCTGACTCAGCTCTTGAAGAGGTAAGTACTCGCCACAGGGATCCAGCTGGCACTCCTTGGTGTGGCTTCAGCCTGGGATGTGTCAGCTCAGTGCTAGGCACATAGTTTCTTTCTTTACCACCTTCAGAATAAATGCCAACTGACCTGCTGGAGTTGCATTCAGAGGAAGTGCAGCAGGCTCTATGGTGGACCCAGGGGTCAATGATGCTTGACCTGTGAATGCAAAATAAAGGGAGGCCTTGTTCACAGCTGGACACCTCCTTGACACCCGTTGTAACAGCGGCCCAGAGAATGGTTGGTCAAGTAGAAACAGATACTTCTGCCTAGTCTATCCTATCAATGTTTGGTTGGCTCCTCCACTTCTTTTTCTGCCATATTCATCCAGTCGTGGATGACACATCCCATAGTGGGATGAGCAGCATTAGAACTTTGAGGATATACCCTTGGTTGGGACACTGCAACTCTCTAAGTGCCCAGAAAACCATTTGAAGGTTGCTTCTTCTTTTTCCTTTAGCAGCAATCCAGATGTGTTCACCCAGGGACATGGCAGTGAATGGAATGGCAGGACATTTTGCTTTCTGCCTAGGACTCCAGTGGCTGTGTCTGGGTTCTCAGTAGTGTCAGAAAAGCATTAACATAGCCAGCTCTATTTTCATCTTATTATGCTTTCAACTTGTTGTAATGCTTCCTTTTAAAATGCATCTCAAATAATGAGGGGAAAACTGGGAAGTGGGCTCCCTGGCATTTATTCTATTGTTTTAAATATTTGTCAATGACTTTGTTACCTACCATGATATTCTTTGATATATGTATGTAAATGAAAACAATTGCATAACCACTTTATTACTGCAATCAGTAGTGTAACATACTGCAATCAATTTTAGTAATTTGTGACTAACTACCCAAAAGTGATTAAATGTATTAACATACTAATTTTTTTATCTGACCCACATGGTTCAATGTAAAATCATTCATAACACTGGAAATGTATAGTTTTTTTTTTGGTACATTCAACAGTGAAGGAGCTGTTGGTGCTGTAGTCAGGAAGAAGAGGGCATGCTGTGAACATGCGCCCCCTGCCGGGACAGTCTCACTGACCATCATTTGGTTTTGTTGCCTGGGTTATGAAATACTGAATTTACTGCTTTCCTATCAAATGCCTGTAAAGTGAGGAAGTATTCATTGTTAAATGTTCCCTGAGTTCTCTTCCAATCACTTGTTTGATTGCTTCTGCATTTTTCATATTCTCAAAAGTAAAAGAGGGGACTGGGAATTTACCTCAGCGGCATAAGCACCTGCCTTACAAGCATGCAGTCATGAGTTCAATACCCAGTATGGAAAAAAAAAAAAAAAAGTAAAAGGATGACTTGCAAATATCTACCAATTTGTAAACCTATGAGCAGTTTTGGTAACCTCAAGTATCACCTAGGAGATATTAATTCAATCCTAACTGATACTTTTTTTCTAATTGGCCAAGCCCATGTGGAGACAGCTAAACTTTCCCAATGTACAGGTGTTCTTTAAACAAGTCAAGTAATTGTTTAAGAAGTCTAGATGATGAATGAGAACCTTTTTTTGCCCTCATGCTCTGTGCCCCATTGTGTGATGAGTGGTATATAATGCATATTAACTTTTCCAGCCTGGAGGGAAGCAATCATGTAGGATCATCAGCTGTGTGACTACAGGGACCATTGTTAGCATGTGACACACAGATCACCTGTCAGAGGAGGCAATTCCCAACATCCTAGGAGGATGATGTGCTGAAAATATACAGTGCAAAGACTTTTCTTCCCTTAGGAAAGGCACACTCTAGAGAGGAAAAGCTGCCAAGAAGAAGAACCAGGTAAACATTAGGCCAACCCAGGTATGATGGGGTGGCAGCTTCAGGCTCTGTTGTTGGAGTGGGGTTTGGTGAATGGTCCGTACCTGCTGGTCAAAAGAAACCAACATTTAAGTTCTACAGTGCACTAATTGTTACATTATAATCTTCAGTGACTTCTAAAAACGTTAAGTTGAATATTTCTGGGAAAAAAAAAACCATAAAAGTAACAGCCTTGCACCAGAAGAGACAATGCCAGAGTTTCATGAATTAAATTAGTGCTCATGAGTTATTTGGAGACAATTGACATTTTCTAACTCATAGGGGCAAGGTTAGAGATCTTGCTCTGCTAAATGTGAGAAAAGCTTCATAATTAATTAACAAAATGAGTTTCAGAAAGGAAAGGTTAAATAAAGGGAGAAGCTGGAGCTTACCCACAGCAAACCACCCACACATTGGACCTACCTGTTTGTGTGTGAGAAAGCGGTATAGCTTCAGGCTGTGCGGTGGGGTCAGGAGCTGGTGGAGAACCATCTGCACCTGATCAAGAGGTCAAGGCCTGTCAGGCTCTTTGCAATGCTCTGTCCAATGGTTCTGTTAACTTGGCCGAATGTGGCAGTTCTGAAGTCCTGGGACTTCCAGCCCTTACCTGTGCAGACTACCCCGGCATCCTCCAGGTGCCCACAGTTGTGCCTGGCCTGGCCCCCATGCACGCACTGCCCCAGGTGGCTCTCACTGCCCTCACACTGCATGTCATCCAGCAGGATCTTCCCAGAGCCTGCTCCAAAGTGGGCCCCTGTGGGTGCTGCCACTGCCTGGCCACACTGCAGCTGGCGGCACACGACAGTGGCCTCAGCCAGGTCCCAGAAGTCATCACACACTGTTCTCCAGGTTCCCTGGACAAGGACTTCCACGCGGCCTGAGCATCTCCCTGTGCCATTCAGCAGCCTCACTGCCATCCAGGATCCTGGAGGGGACACAAAAGAGAGGGACACGGGGAACTGGCCTCTGGTGTCACAGGTATTTCTAGCCTCTCTGGATCTGAGTCTGTTTATCACAAGAACCTATGTTACACACATAACTAGGAGAACAAACCACAGTTATCTTCAATTAAATGACAAATTTTTGTTTAAAACCTCCAATTAGAAAAAAATGATTCTGACTTCAATTTTTTTCCCTCCTTTTAAAATTAGTATATGTTTAGGATACAAAGTAAGTAATTCATTGGAGGGAATTGGTACATACACAGCATATCTTGGTCCTTTTTACCTCCCCTTCTCTACTCCATAGTCTATCTCCATTTCCTATATATTTAAAAAGTTTATGGTGGTCCCCAATGTACTCCAAACAAGAACACATTAACCATAAAGTAAGTTTATTGCATGGAAAGACAAAAATATATAAGTACATTAGATTGATAGCAAAACATCTACATCTTGACTCTGTGTTTACAGAGTCAATTACAGTTAAATCATATCCTGATATGAAGAATGCCTGTGCTCATATTAACCTTGATGTTTGCTAATACCCTGGCTCTCACACCTGTAATTTGTGAATTTGTGATGCAGGAGACAGCTGAACATAAACATGTCTACAAGTTTTACCATTCACTTTTTGTATATTATGTCTCCCTTTCAAAAAGCTATTCATTCACCATCCCAGAAGGGATAATATATTTACTTTAGAGAAGGAAATAGAATCAGGTAAGGCTCTTTAATTGCTCAAGATTACACACCTAGAAAGTGGGAAAACTTGTCCTTTTTCTTATGCACAGGTATCCTGAAGTGACTCTGACTAGGGTTTTCCATCTAGTGTGGATGCATCTCTGACCTCACTTTCCAGGCAAGTCTTTTCATACCTGTTGATGAAAGTGTAGAGGATGCAGGAATTTTGGCCAGGGAAGTCTCTGAGGTAACCTCAGCTACATAGAGAATGTGAAAAGTTATCATCAGCAACTATGTAATATAAAATTTGAAGTAAAAAGAAAAGAGAATTTCTTTTAAGACTCCAACCCCAAAGGTTAGCAGTGATCTTACGTGGAAGATTATCTTTCATCTAGGCTATCATTATCTCTGTCATCTTGATTTTATACTTGACTATTTCTTACTACAAAGGTAATGGATCCTACAGAACTGCCATGATTGTACCAGAGCCACGTGCAGATCCCTGGGCAGCCTCAGGCAGCCCAGCTCTACACTCCTCCCACTTGTAGTTCTCAGAATAACATCAGAATATACTGAGAATGCAACATCTGGAGATAAGGAGGCATTGCCCAGGTCAGCCTAAACTTTGCCTTGCCCCTCCTAGAACAAGATGTTCTGCAATGCTAAGTCTAGTTGCTCCAGAGATTAAGCCAAGAACAGAGTGTTCCAAGGTCCCTTGGCGGCTGTGGGAAGCTGAGCATACTTTGAGGAGACTCCATTGCCTTAGATGACTTTCCTGAGCCTTGAGGGACCACCCCTCTTGGACCCTAGGCATCCATATATTTTCCCACCTGTCTGTCAATAATGACATTACTTTGCCTCAATTGCCATGCAAATGTTGTGCTGGCCAGTGAAGATACAGAACTGCTGTGGCAGCTGAGTCTCTTTCAGTCCCTGTGAGAGTCAGAATGGTGTAGCACCAACTACCTCAGTGTAAGTAGAATTGCTTATCAAATTAAGACTTTAAGCCAAAGTTAAGGTTATCAAGCCTACTGTTTAGTAAGCTACTCAATATTAATTAATGTTTTGCATTATCGCTATTAGGAAGTTTAGTTTATCAAAGAGCATTAAGAGTCCTTGAAAAAAGAATTAATTTGATATTGAGGTGGGAGTTAAGTAGAAGTATCCAAATGGCTTTGCCACTACAGACACAGTGAGTACAATGCCAGGAAAGCAATGGGAATGATACAGGCTGAGAAAGACGTGGCTGATGGTAGAGATTTTCTAGTAAGAATCAGGACAAATGTAGAATTTAACAAGGAGAAGCTCTGGTAACATGGTGGATATAGGGGTATTCTAGACAAAAAGGAAAATTCTTATCCTTACAACACATTGTTACATAGAATAATTAGGATGAGAGTTGGAGCCCAGAGTCACAAAGAAATTTAACACACTCAAAGAGAGCAGACCATTTAAAACAACTTAATTAGACCTTTCACAACTATTCACATATATTGTTCTAAGCATTTGGAATTGAGTATTTCTCAAACTTATTTATATAGGCATTAAGTTTTTAGTATCCATCTCAGTGAATAGGAGCATAAGAGTTAAGTGAACAGGGAAAACAGGGCTTAACATAAACTTCTGTTAGAAAATCCTGGCACCCACTAGTAGAGGAATTAATATTGCTTAACAACCCTCTTAAAAAATAAAGATTTCTAATATGGTTTCCAATTAACTGATAAAGATGGTTACTATACTTCTCTTTCAATTCTCGTGTCTCCTGTATTTAAATATGAAAAATATGTAACATATAAACACTATCCTTACGAATGCTTATTTTAGACTTATTATCAATTATATGAATAGTAGAAATAAGTCAATACCTGGTGCCAAAGGAAATACATCCAACATTGATAAAGTACTACCTCTAATGGTACAAAATGAATTAAATAAAAAAGGTATCTTATTCTTAAAATGGATCCTCAATCTTGTTTGGTGTCAGGTAAATTAGAGATTCAGTTTCAAAGGGTCCAGCCTGAGATCCCATAGTGACACCACCCTTTATGGCTGCCAATCATAGTGTATTCCCTGTCTAAAAGACAGGATGGGGGAAGAAAGATTAGAAGAATAATGAGTGTGCATAAAGAAGGAATCTGACTGCCATCGTGCTAGTTGGAGACCCCTCTATGCCACCCCTACCCTGCATAGCTGCACCTGGAGCCTCATAACACTACAGATAGTAGCCACCACTCCTTGTGCCTTCCCAGCCCTTGTCCTTGGGCAGCCATTACCACTTGTCCCTCTTAGGTCTTGTTCTTAGCAGGTAGTCACAACCCCTTCTCCCTGAACTCCTCCTCCTCATGGCCTGACAAAGGACCCCATAGCCTATACAGAGCTGCTGGTCTGATCTCTAGTTCCAGAGCAATCCCTCTCAAGTTTGCTCTAAAATAAACTTGTCCTGGCAACCTCATACTTTTGTTTCTTTTCCTTTTCTTTAACAGATATCCTCTATATTAAAAGTCATGCACAAATATTTAAGGTGATTATAGTCATAAAAATGCTAATGAGAGTTTAAAAAAAGTAGACATCTGTTTAGGGATGCATTTTGTATTAAATGCAACATAATATATATATAGAAGAAAAAAGTAGAAAATATAAATAAAAAATATTTTTAAGACATTTGATATATTTCAAGTTATGTAATATTTAGCACTCACAATGTAACAACACATTAAAAATTCATTGTCTTAATGTCATTTTCTTAATATATTTGGCTAATAAAGTCTTATCTGCGTATTAGTTCCAGGACAATTGGGTATGTTAGACCTCCCTGCATGCACTTTTTTAAAGAGAATAAACCTTTTTTAAGAGAATAAAACCTAAAGCAGAGATGTCAAATATACATACATACATATATATATATATATATATATATATATATATATATGTATGAATGAAAGTATCACTTTCTTAATGGCATGAGCCACCAAGCACACAATGATGTAAAAGTCCCTAGTAAAGACTGGTGTGTGTGTTTGTGTGGGGGCGGGGTTTTCATTGTTTTCCCTCATGTTTCTCTGCGTCCAAGAGCAAAGAAATCTACTATGAAGACTCACCTTCTGGCCTGAGTGCCAACTGCTGAGCAGCAGATTCAGAGAACGGAAGCGTGGTTGATGATGTGTGTCCTATCAGCGTGAAAAATTAGAGAAAGGAATTAAATGCTGTCAGGGGGCAACACCTTGCCCCACCTCACAATTCCTTCTACTCAGTGCTGGCTCTTTCCCATTCTTTCCTCACTTTAGCTCATGAAAGTCACTGCTCAACTATATCCTTCTTCATCTTTAGAAGTCAGTCTGCTGCCTTCTTTGGAAGTCAGAGATCTGCAATGTTCCTCGCAGCCAGCCTCCCTCAGGCAGCTCCATTCCTCCAACCCCCGCCCACTGTGGCCTGCCATTTTTATCTCTATCTTACATTCCTTTCTCTTATTTCCTTAACTGTCCAAATCTCAGCTGAAGACAAGGAATAGCATCGGTTAATTTTTCCCTTTGAAGGTACCACATGCAGTATCACCAGAAATAAAAATTTGGGCAGGAAAGGAAGTTCCATTCCCACCTCCTTTCCTTTCCCTCTACCTTAGTCATTGAGTTTCTACAGAAGGATGGAGGAACCAAGCACCTTTAGGATTCCAGATCTTTAAATGCACAGAAAACTTGTTCTAAAGTTTATTGCTTGCCATGATGCCTGGCCCTTTTCAAAAAATAAGCATAATGTCTACTTTGCATAGAATGTTAGGAAAATGTTTGAGCTGCTTTGTTTTCACTGAAGTTGGATGGATGACACATTGTGATCTTAAGAAATATATCTATAGATGACTTTTGGACACAGCTTTCTTCCTCATTTTGTCTCATAAAAATCTCCTGGTCATAGATAGTTATGGAGTCATTTTGATTCCATGTGGCTGAGCCATAAGACTTTAAGAATGGATAGATAAAAGCACAAGTTATATGACTTTTATCTATCACTTAGGCATAGGGTGACATATGGAATGGCCTTAACCAATTCAATGGGCAGGTGTCAGACCTTTTGGTGAGAGTGTTGGAAAATATCCTATCATTTTTCATTCCCTTTTGTTCTCCAAACTTGAGGGAATTGCCCACATTCTCCTAACCAATATTATAGGTGAAAAACATCATGAATATTTCCTGGACCTCTGCCTCTCCCCCAGGTGCTGTATTTGTCTTCCTCATAGATTTGAATCAAAGCCTTTCTATGATGAGTTATTTGCACCTTATGACAATCATGAGGGTTTTTTT